CCCGGTAGCGTAATTGGTAGCGCACTTGCCCGGAAAGCGAGAGGTGCGGGTTCTAGACCCCATGGGGCGAATTCTTTCTTCTGATACTTTACTTTTCCACATTAATAACTAACAAATATGTTTTAAAGCGAGTAGTGCAGGGTTCGATTCCTGTAGTTTCCCACCATTCTTGTAATAGGAAACAATAGCGAATTTTTACTTGACTGGTGTTTTTTTCGACTAACGTTATATAACTACAGTACAATTCTTTCCTACAAACCGGCTTTTTGAATCTTGGCTGCAGGGTAGGGAATGGACAGATAGCAGGATGTTCATGGGGAAAGCGAAATTTCACGGGTGAGGGTATAATGCAAGCAAAAAAGTATGGCATTACCTTATGAATTCGAATGCAATTATTTTTGATAGAGAAACGAACTGAATTTGAAGAGTTTGTTAGAGGCAGCTTTGTATACGTTGCCTTTGATCTCCAAAAATCGGAAATCAAAGAGAAAGAAGTCTTAGTAGATGCAGGCAAAAAGTGATGCGGTTGCTTAGAGTATGGAGAATTTAAGTCAATGATCGACAGAATGGTGATAGCCTTAAGAATAGGAAAAAAAGGGATTCACTCAGTATTCACTCTATGAAAAGACAGTTTGGCCAATGCTGCTTCGGAGCCAGTCACAAGACGTCGTAAACTCATTCAATCAGAAAAGCCCGAAAATGTGGGACTTGCTACATCGTAAGCAGGGTAGGGATTGTTGCATAAAGTTGCATAGAGGGGGAAGCATTAGTTCCTGGAAACTGGAAACAGGCGAACACCAAACCATCCGCGTATTCGTTATAATAGGTAGAGCGATTATGTCCTTTTAGGATCATTCGATAGGACATTGCACTTCCAAGAGATCGCGGAAGTAGAAAAATGGAGAGCATTCTCCAATAAACGCCGTGAAATTTTCGGAACAGGTAGCTATATTTGTCCAAAAGCGACTATATTTAGCAGCAGAGTTTTGCATGTTGTTTGCACTGCGCAAACTGTTTCTGTGTTGAAAGGGGCGGCTGCTTATGGATGAGTGGGAAAAGTCGCCCCTCCCATTATGTACATAGAAGGGAGTGTGGAGAGACAAACGAAAAAAGTTTTCTGAATGAAAATATAAGGAATGACAAACAGTTTTTGGAAAAAGTAGAAAGTTCTCAGACAACCCTTATGATTAGTCAAACGGAGCGTGTGCGATGTGATAAATGAAAAAAGACCATTGAGATCCAGAAAAGGGAAAAGTAGGCCTTATTGAGCTGAATTGTGAGAATTCAAGAGGGAAGAATCTGAGGTAAACTGCTAGAAGAGTGCATTGACTGAGGGAAACAGCAGTGCAAATGGGTTACAACAGAGAGCTGAAGGCAGCACATTCATGGATGGATGCAACATGAAGGCAAGGAAAGGGTTGAGCGGCATACATAAAAGCAGGAATCGTGCACAATGAAGTCGCTCTAATTTGGTGCAAGTTTCAGCGCTGAATAGAGCAGCTCCTCTGGCAAGAGTCACATGGGAGGCCGGGTATGAGATGATATGGATATCTGTCAGCCAAAGTTCTTGAACGTTTTGGTGAGGAACTGGATTCAATTAAAAGCGCTTAGCCTTCCAGAACGCAACACTCATGTGTCTTCCATTTAGAACAATGGAAACATTCGAATGCGTACATTTGACCACTACAGTAACTTGAGAGGCGCTTATGATCCA